GACCGTTGCTCTTGCCCACTCCCTCTTCCCTTCTCCATGCGCCCTCCTCGCTCCAGCCGCCTTCTCGACTCTCGCCTTCGCAGGGCTTCCATCTGAGTCCACTCGGTGTCTGAGCCCACTGGGCCACCGAATGGGCAGCCGCACGGGCTCGACTGCGCCAGGGCAGTTGGAATCGTGCCCGTTCTGCCGCTGCGCGGGGCTCGCTTCTGGGCCCACTCGGCGGCCGAACAGGCTCATACAGTGGAGGCCCATGCCAAGAAACACCCTTCCTGCCTCCGGGCGGGTTTTGTTGGTTTTGCGATGGGAAGCGTGACTTTCCCACACCAACAAATCAATGGACGTCCTGGGGCCTCAGGGTTGGGTTTCTTGTGGAAGGTTTTTTGTGGATGGGCCCCTACTGTATGCCGCCTGGGTTCAGATGGGGCCCTCGTGTAGTCCCAGCCTGTCTTGGCATTCCTCCCACAAGTCACGTAGCAGTTCAGGGATGCGCTGTGCTCTCTCATCAAAAGGTTTGGAGTGGCCGACCCTCCTCCCCCATTGGTGGACCGTTGATGCCTTCTTGGGTTACCCGCAAGTGGATAGCGCGGCTGATGATGTACGTACACATGTTCGCGCCTCCGCAAAGAGCAGGCGAAGGAGGCTGCTCTCCTGTTTTTTTCCTGAGCACAGCCCACCAGTTCTGCACATTCCCACCTCCACGGGTGTTGACCACACTTGCTTGTTTGCTTCGCTACATTCGTTTCCTGACGCCCATTCTCATCCAGAACCCGAGCCACGCGAGCATCACTATAACAGAAGTTTGCGTGTCTCCTGTCTTGAACTCCACCCTGATTCGTCGAGTCTTATTGGCCCCAAGGCTTCTCCCATGAGCTTGCGCCGCCCGTAACCCACCCACCACCCTGTCGTCTTCGAGATTTGGTTTGACTACAAACGTGGTGCGACGTGAATGTTGCAGAGGTCCGCGACTCTTGAAATGACCGTGCGAGGCCTCGTGATTGGTTGGCCGCTGCCCTCATTTGCGGCCGCCCGCTCCCGTCCACGTGCCTCCAGTGCTTCGTTGCGACTCCGTGCCAAAGCCTGTCGTCCCGACTGCGTTGTGCGATCGCCAGTGATGGGCTTGTTTTCCACCACCACCACCATAAGATGGAGGATGAGGGGGTACAGGCCCATCACGATCGCCAGCGCTGCGACAAGGCAGCTTGGTTGGCCAGGGGCAAAGCATGTTCTCATTGCGACGACGCCTCTCATCGGTGCTTGCGGTTCGTGGGTCCAGCTTTAAGTCGTGCGTGTCCCATTACAGCGCGGGCGCGGCCGCAAGAAACCCTCGCAAGAAACCCAACCCTGAAAACCCGCGCGCGAGGTGCACCCCAGGGGAAGCCCAGAGCACCGTTAACGCAGCAGCCTCTTCGACGGCTGCGGAAATGCACCGCGCACTTCGCGGAGCGAAGAAACCCAGGGTACCCTGACGAAAAGTATATGGTTTCGTGATGCTCGCCCCCACTGTCCAGGGGAAATCTTCAAAAATATTAAACCATATCTGGGGACAACGTTTTGGCATTTTCTTTTTATTATTACTAATAATATCAATTTTGAGTGTCTTGAGTTTTTCGCCCCAAAATCCGCCTGTAGCTAGGCATGCCCGACCTGATCGTGGCTCCAGCTGGTCACTCGAGTGAAGGGCGTGCCCTCCTATGGGTCACATCTTTCATGGCGCCAACATCGCAGAGCGGATTTCGTTCGGAAAAAGATAGGATGGGCCCGGAGTGTCCTGGGGAATTCCGTTCGGATTTCGAGGTGAATATCGTACGGATCTTTTTGGGCCAGGAATGAAGACTAAAACACATCCACGCGAAATGAACTTCGTTTTTCACTCGCCGTTTCGGGGTTTTGCATTGGCAGACATCCATGCAACAATCCGCTGCAGCACGTCTGCAAGGTCGGTGCAGTGACATCTCTGTATGCTACATGTTGCGCCTCCCTGTTTATCTGAGGTCTGGCAGACCTGGGCGTCGCCATCTCCTCGCGTTTCGTCCGCACACTTTCAATGAGGCTCCGGACAACGTGTTGTGTCGCCCTTGGCCTGACGAGTGACTTGCCCATCCCACCGGTCATGGACCTTTTCACAGGTAGCTTGCCCGTTTCTGTATTATCCTGGGGTGGTGGTTTCGGGTGCAACGACAGAGGGGGGAGGCACATCGGGGGATGCATCGACCCCCAATCGCCCATTGATCGCCGATACGGGCCCGATAGCCCCAACCTGCCCAGGAAGGTGTGGCTTCATTATCGGGGACTTATCGCCGATCTATCGGCGATGTATCGCCCATTCGAGGTCGATGCATCCCCCCCTATGCCATTCCCCCCCTATCGTTGCCCCTCAAACCTGCCCGTTTCTCTGTTACCCTGGGGTGGTGGTTAGTTGGCGGGGGATCTGTGTTTTGGCGCACAGCACTTCTGGCGCGCGCTGGCTGGAACTCTTGCCCTCTAGCCGCCCCTGCTCCTGGATACCATTTGGCTGCTGCGCGCCTCACGTCGGCGTCACCCCTCTATGTGCGTCGCCCCCCCAGGGGCGACGCGCGCACCGAGAAATCTTCTAGTACATGCGTCGTGGCGGGCGCTTTCTGGCCACACCGCTCGGGAAACGATATACTACAAGATGGGTATACTATATGTTCGGTTCGGACGCGCGCCTCCAAGGAGGACATAGTATTAGTATGTCTCTGTGCGTCCCATCACGCGCGAGGGCATAGCCGTTTACTGAGGTCTGTGCCTGGTAGAAGACGAACCTGTTCGGGCAGCTGGCGATCTACAAGACTCGTCAAACATAAGTTGACGGTTTTTGTTTTCGGTGCTTGCGTGGTAGGCGCTATTTCAATGCTGGCATGTGTGTCCGAAATCCGGCAGTACCTTCACAGCATTGAAGAACGCGTTTTCTGACAAGTGCCCGAACTTTCGAGCGCTTCGTTTTTGAATAGCATTCAAGTTATGCTTGACGAGGCTTATGGATGCGCAGTTGCATGCTGCCCTGGGGACTTGGGCCAAAAGGTGCTGCCAGTGACTACAGGTGCTGGCGGCGGACCGCATGCGATCCTGCTTGGCTTCGTTGGAGCAAACTGTGTCACCTGGTCAGGGCTCGGGGGGTTTCACGTAAACACGGGGCCGAACGGCCTCTGTTCGTCAGCAGGGTTCCGCATCAGGCATTGGGCGTCGTCAGGGCTTTCTTTGCCCTGCGGTGCCGTGTGCATGCCGTTCGATGGCAGGACATCGCCTCGGGCGCAGCGCGTGGCAGGTCGGCGTTGACATGCTGCGACGTTGTGCGATTCCTGCCGTTGCGTGGCAGGGCGCAAGCCGCGTCGCAGTGCAGTCGGTTCTCCGCCCGCCCGACCTCGTCGTGCGCGAGGATGCGGTGAGGGGTTTACCTTCCCACCTTAGCTACCGATTCCCGAAGTGGACAGGCCGACATGGAAGTTTCAGGGTGGGTGTTCACTGCATTCGACTCCCCATGGCTCCTTCCCTGGTTGGCTGAGTTACACGAGTCTTTTGATGCTGCGGTAGAGCAATTGCCCGACTCGTGAGATCTCCTGGTTCACCAGGGCGGCGAGTAGTCTGACGAAGCTTGGATGCGCAGGTGGAGTTTGCAAGCCGCAGTGCTGGCCTCCCTGCCCCAGCGTGCCGCATCCAGAGTGCTTTTGTAACTACCCACTCCCTGGTTGGGAAGCATGCTTCTAATCCTATTCTGGTCAGTTGTCCCCCAAGTTGGTTTGACGTACTTTGTCATTCCATGACTCATGGCTTGTCGACACGCAAGACCTTGCGCAGTGCCCTTCGCATCCACAGCGGGCTTGGTCCTTTTCCAGCAGAGCGCTTTGTCTATTTTGTTGAGGCCTCACATGTCGTTTCAAGTATTCCTGCCTGGTGCGAGTGCCGCGCACAGGAGACAACGTGGCCCCTGTGTGGGTACTGGTGTGTGTGTGTGTGTGTGTGTGCGTGTGTGTGTGTCATAGTTTGTGGTACGTGCTGCGATTCCCCACGCGTGCTGCACTGCGTTCCCAGCTCTTGTTTTCAAGGTCCACCAAGCTATCGCAGTCGCGCTTCGGACGCCAGAAACCATGTCAGTCTCAACCACTTCTTCCCAAGTCCCCTCCTATCAATTTTCCATTCACATCATTTCTCCTCTTCTCCTTTCCACTCTCCTGCAATGCTTCTCTGTGCGCCATCCTCTACTCTCTTCAGGCCTCCCTTCTCCCCCTCCCCTTCCCTGTCGGGTCCTCCCCTTTCCCCCTCGTCTCTCCTCCTTCCTTTTTTCGGCTCTTCTCTCCTCCATGACCCTTCGTTCCCATCTTCCTCTTTCAAACTCTTCCCTAGTCGCCCTTCCCTCCATATTCCCCCTCCCTTCTTCGCTAAGCTTTGCGTACCACTCTCCGCCCTCTTTGTTGTCTTCTCTCCTACCCTCTCGCTCATCCTCTTCGTCGCCGTCCTCCTGATATTCTTCGCTGCCTTCCCCATTCTCTCTCGGCCTCGCTATGGCTTCTTCTGTGCTTCATCGATTTCTCCCGTCCCATCCGAAGCATAGTTTTCTTCCCAGGTTCATATCTCCCATCACCATCATCAGCATCATCAGCATCAACATCATCCTAGTTCGCTCGCTTCCTCCTTCCCCTCGCTTCTTATCCCTTGCCCCCTTCTTTGCTTGCCGACTCTCACTGTGTGTGTGTGTGCGCGTCGCCCTCCCCGGTTCAAAAATCGGTCCCTCGCTCTCCGCTGTTATCCGCGTCTCTAATCCCTTGATGGTTCTCGACTTCGCAGGTTATTCCAGGAGGGGAAGAGCACACAGACACAATGCATCGTCGACTCGCAGGAAAATATGGGAAAATATAGGAAGTGGGGGGAAAGACGAGAATCCAGACAATATTGAAAATATGGAGGATCCTGGGATTTGTGTGTATTTATTTGTGTGTCCTTGGGCAACTTGATCCTTGCTTTGCGCAGTCCAGTGTGCTGAGGAACAGATCATCAAGGATAGCATCGATAAGACCGAGGCGGAGATGGCCGCCAGCAGCTCCGCATCCCTTGAGGACAGCCCTGGCTTGCCATCGCAGCCTGGTCTCAGCGGGCCGCGAAATCAAGCTCGCTCTCTCCCTCATGTTGAGTCCTCCTTCACCTTTTCAGTCCTGTGCCCGATGAGCTCCCACCTCTCTTTCTCTCATCTGCCTAGTCCTCATCTTCCTCCTTCTCCCCCTGCTACCTCTCTTCCTCTCTCCCTCCTTGTTTCTCCTCTTTTTGCACCTTCTTCCTCCTCTTTCGTTACTCTTCACTCCTCCCTCCCATCTCCATCCTCCTCTTTCGGCCCTTCTCATCCCTCCTCGCCCCTCCCTCCTTGCCCCTTTCATCCCTTCTCTCTCATCCATCCTTCCCCTTTCTCTCCCCCTTCTTCCGCCCTCATCGCTTCTTCGGCCTCGAGCGCTGCTTGCTCGTCATCACAAGTGATCTGCAAGGGGTGGGGGCGCGCGCGCGCAAGACGCAGAGGGAGGAGAAGAAGGGGGGGTCGAAATTGGAATGGGAAGAGGGAGAGAGAGAGAGAGAGAGAGGGAGACGGAACGCAGGCGAAGCTTGGGAGGGAAATGGGATATGAGTGGGGGATCTAGGCGTGAGAGGAGAAGGTGTCTTGGAGCCCGTGCCATTGACCATCCAGTTTTCGGACTTCCTTGGTGGTGAACCTCCTTGGCACCCAATCTTCGACTTGCCTTTCGAAGTGCATTTCTATGCGAAATTAAATTTGCATTCCAATACTCATTTCGATTGGACGTTCGACTTCCATTCCGACTGGCAGTTCGATGTGCATATCGATTTGCAGTTAAATGTGCATTCCGATTTGCGGTTCGACCTGCATTTCAGATACCATTCCGATGTGCATCTGGATTTACATTCCAGTGTTCATTTCGCTTTGAGTTGAGTTTCGCGTTGCATATATATATATATATATATATATATATATATATATAGATATATATGTCCCTGGGGGCGAGGCCAGGGGGCCACAAACAAATGCCCCCACCTCCCATGGGGGGACGGGGGCTCATTTTCCATGTGTTTTTACAGGGTTTCCGCGTCCTGGGCCTCGGAGGCCGCCGCCTCCGACCCCCCATGGGCCAGGAGGGCCTCCAGAGGCTCCCAAGACGGCCCAAGCGGGCCCCGAGTCGCCGAAAGACCGCTCCAGGACGCCCAAGATAGGCCCAAGACGGCCCGAGAGGCCCCCCAAGGCACTCCACGACGCTTCAAGACGCCTCTCCAGAGCGCTTCCAGAGGCCGAAATCGTCAAGTTTACTAAGGTTTTCGACCGATTTTGGCCTTCCAGCCTTTTCGGCTGTCCGACGTTCCAAGATGGCTCAATAGGCCCCCAAGAGCGCCCCAAGACGGCCCAAGAGGGCCCCAAGACGGCCCCAGAGTCGCCCAAGACAGCCCAACAGAGCCCCAAGACGGCCCCAAGATGCGCCCAAGAGGGGGACCACGACTCCAAAATTCGACCCTCCGGCTTGAAGAGTGCCCCAGGAGGCCCCAAGGAGCCCCCAAGAGGCCCCAGGATGCCCCCAACAGGCACCCAGGAGGCCCAAACGAGGCCTACAGAGGCCACAAAACAGCCCCGAGGAGGCCCCACAACGGTCCCAAAACGGCTACCGAGAAGCTGCGAAACTGCCTTCACGACGTCCCCGACAGGCCAACCACGAGATCCAAACCAACACCCATGAGGCCTCTGACCCACCACCCAGGGCACGGTGGCGGCTGCAGTGACAGCACTTGCGCACAGCATGTTCCGGCGGGAGCCTTCCGGAACACGCTGCAGGAGGAGGAGGAAGATCAGGAGGAGAGAGAGAAGTGGAGTGGGAGGAGGAGGAGGGGGACGAGGAGGAGGAAGAGGCCTCCCAGACAGCTCCAAGATAGCCGAAGAGGCTTCCAAGAGGGCCCTGGGCGGCCCACGAGGGCCCCAAGGCGGTGCCTGAGGCGCCCAAGACGGCCCGAGAGGGCCCCAAGACGGCCCCAAGAGAGGCCCAAGAAGGGAAACACGAACCGAGAATCCGAGCTTTCTACCCCGAGAGGGTCTCGGGAAGTCCCAAGAGGCCCCCAATCGGATCCAAGAGGCCCCCAAGAAGCTCCCAAGAGGGCCGACGAGGTTCCAAGAGATCTCCCAAGGTGGCCCCAAGAGGCACAACACATTGTTTTACGATTGGGCTTTGACGTTTTTTTTCTGCCTTTTGGCATCCCGATGCTCCAAGACGGCCCCAAAGGCTTCCAATACCGCTCCCATCATATAGAGGAAGAGGCCTCCAAGAGGGCCCCCCAAGACGGCCCGCGAGGGCCCCAAGACGGTGCTTGAGGCGCCCAAGACGGCCCGAGAGGGCCCCAAGAGCCCCAAGAGAGGCCCAAGAAGGGGAACGCGACCCAACAGCAGAGCGGTCCCCCCACAAGGCCCACAGGAGGCCGCAAGAGGCCCCCAAGTGGTCCGACGAGGACCCCAAAAGCTTCCCCGAGGGCCTAAAAGGCCACCAGGAGACGTCCAAGAGGCTTTCAATAGCCCAAGAGTACCTCGATGCGTCAAAACTGCTTCCAGGAGGCCCCTGGGAGGCTTCCGGATTGCCTCAATCTGGCCGCAGGTGGCCTCAAGTCGGGCCTCCACGCAGCCAAGACGGCCAATGACGGCTTCAGATTGCAGAACCGATGCCCCCAAGGGACCCTCAGACGCCCCCCCAAGAAGCACCCAAGAGGTGCCTCCAACAGCCAGTTGACGAAGCATGCGGAACACCCCAGAAGATCCTCAGATGCCGTCGCGCGCCTGTGCTTGATAGCGTTGTCCAAGATCGTCCAGCGCCCCCCCGGCCTGGGCTAGAACCTGAGCGCGCGCGAAGCGCGCGCGATGGTTCTAACCCAGGGGCCCGAAAACAGCTGCCCGACCCTCCATGCGAGTACCGGGGCTCATTTTCGCTGTGTTTTCACGGGGTTTCGGCGTCCCGGGCCTCGGAGGCCGCCGCGATGGTCCCGGACATTTTCCAGATCCTCGGCGCGGGCTCCAAGACCATTCCGCAGAGGGCTCCAACAGGCTCCAGGGCAGCCCAAGAGGGCTCCAAGACGGCTCCAGGAACGACTGCAGGGTCTCATTTTTCTTTTGTTTTCTGCAAGACGGCTCCAGGAAGACTGCATGTCTTCTGAGGATGGCTTCCGCCTCTTGCCCCGAGCATCCCAAACTGCCTGATCGGTTCCCACTCGCCTTCCTCAAACCCAGCGCTTGCCCAAGCGCGTTCCAGACGGTCTTCGCCGGAACGCGCTGGAATGATCACGCGCTGCGGTTTCCCATGCCAACGTCCTCGGACGTGGGCGCCCTGCCACGAGCGCGTTCCGGGAAGATGCTCCTGGAACGCGCTGAAAAGATATGGCCACATCTCGGGGACGCTCCCGGCACTGCTGCCCCAGCCTTTCTGGGCAGCCTCCACAGCGCTCCAGGAGGGCCCAAGACGCCCCCTAGGAGCCCCCAGAATGCGAAAGGATGGCCCAAGACGCTCCCGAGCAGCCCAAGTCAGCCTTCCGACGGCTCTCGAAGCTCCCAGGTGGCCTCCAAGAGACCCCAAGAAGTCTGATAGGTATCGCGGCACGGCCCGGAGAGGCCAAAGTCGTATATGTTCAATGTTCTTTTCAATGTTTTTGGCTTCTCGCGTTTTCGAGCTCCCATCGGTCCAAGAGCGCCGAAAAGCCTCCATGGGGGTACTGGGGCTCATTTTCCCAATGTTTTTAAAAGGGTTTCCGCGTCCTGGGACTCGGAGGGCGCCGCCTCCGACCCCCCATGGGAGGAGGGGCGGCCGGGGAGGTCCAAAATAGTCCAGGAGGGCCTCCAGAGGCTCCCAAGACGGCCCAAGCGGGCCCCGAGTCGCCGAAAGACCGCTCCAGGACGCCCAAGATAGGCCCAAGACGGCCCGAGAGGCCCCCCAAGGCACTCCACGACGCTTCAAGACGCCTCTCCAGAGCGCTTCCAGAGGCCGAAATCGTCAAGTTTACGAAGGTTTTCGAACGATTTTGGCCTTCCAGCCTTTTCGGCTGTCCGACGTTCCACGACGGCTCAATAGGCCTCCAAGAGCGCCCCAAGACGGCCCAAGAGGGCCCCAAGACGGCCCCAGAGTCGCCCAAGACAGCCCAACAGAGCCCCAAGACGGCCCCAAGATGCGCCCAAGAGGGGGACCACGACTCCCAAATTCGACCCTCCCGCTTGAAGAGTGCCCCAGGAGGCCCCAAGGAGCCCCCAAGAGGCCCCAGGAGGCCCCCAAGAGGCACCCAGGAGGCCCAAACGAGGCCTAAAGAGGCCACAAAGCAGCCCGAGGAGGCCCCACAACGGTCCCAAAACGGCTACCGAGAAGCTGCGAAACTGCCTTCACGACGTCCCCGACAGGCCAACCACGAGATCCAAACCAACACCCATGAGGCCTCTGACCCACCACCCAGGGCACGGTGGCGGGAGCAGTGACAGCACTTGTGCACAGCATGTTCCGGCGGGAGCCTTCCGGAACACGCTGCAGGAGGAGGAAGATCAGGAGGAGAGAGAGAAGTGGAGTGGGAGGAGGAGGAGGAGGGGGACGAGGAGGAGGAAGAGGCCTCCCAGACAGCTCCAAGATAGCCGAAGAGGCTTCCAAGAGGGCCCTGGGCGGCCCACGAGGGCCCCAAGGCGGTGCCTGAGGCGCCCAAGACGGCCCGAGAGGGCCCCAAGACGGCCCCAAGAGAGGCCCAAGAAGGGAAACATGAACCGAGAATCCGAGCTTTCTACCCCGAGAGGTTCTCGGGAAGTCCCAGGAGGCCCCCAATCGGATCCAAGAGGCCCCCAAGAAGCTCCCAAGAGGGCCGACGAGGCTCCAAGAGATCTCCCAAGGTGGCCCCAAGAGGCACAACTCAGTGTTTTACGATTGGGCTTTGACGTTTTTTTCCGGCCTTTTGGCATCCCGATGCTCCAAGACGGCCCCAAAGGCTTCCAATACCGCTCCCACATAGAGGAAGAGGCCTCCAAGAGGGCCCCAAGACGGCCCGCGAGGGCCCCAAGACGGTGCTTGAGGCGCCCAAGACGGCCCGAGAGGGCCCCAAGAGCCCCAAGAGAGGCCCGAGAAGGGGAACGCGACCCAACAGCAGAGCGGTCCCCCCACAAGGCCCACAGGAGGCTGCAAGAGGCCCCAAAGTGGTCCGACGAGGACCCCAAAAGCTCCCCGAGGGCCCAAAAGGCCCCTGGGAGACGTACAAGAGGTTTTAAAGTAGCCCAAGAGTGCCCCAAATGCATCAAAACTGCTTCCAGGAGGCCCCTAGGAGGCTTCCGGATTGCCTCAATCTGGCCGCAGGTGGCCTCAAGTCGGGCCTCCACGCAGCCAAGACGGCCAATGACGGCTTCAGATTGCAGAACCGATGCCCCCAAGGGACCCTCAGACGCCCCCCCAAGAGGCACCCAAGAGGTGCCTCCAACAGCCAGTTGACGAAGCATGCGGAACACCCCAGAAGCTCCTCAGATGCCGTCGCGCGCCTGTGCTTGATAGCGTTGTCCAAGATCGTCCAGCGCCCCCCCGGCCTGGGCTAGAACCTGAGCGCGCGCGAAGCGCGCGCGATGGTCCTAGTATATATATATATATATATATATATATAAAATCTAGATATGTAGATGCTGTTCCGAGTGAATTGGATTTCTGTGATAGTTCTGCCTTGTGGTTGGTTCCATGAGGAGCGTGCCCATCTTTTTTTCATGTCCGTCAGCTACAGTGATGAGGGGGACAACAGTGGGTTGTGTCTCGCCAGGGTCATCGTGGACATGACTGTCTGAGAGAGCATGTCCGCACCGATGGTGGTTGTCAGTGGCTACCCTTCGTATGACGTGTGGCTCGCTGAGGCGCACCCCTCGGTAAGGCACGTTCTTCAAGGGGCTCGGTCTTCTGATCTCATGTTTTGTTTCAGGCCATGGCGTCTGGGTTCTAGCGGTCGTAGGCTGCAGAAGACCATGCCTTGGCCATGCCTTGGCCACGCCAAGGTCAGGAGTGCCCGAGTGTGCGCGGCCATGATCCCCCAGGACCGCGACACCCCCAAGCCCATACGCGGCCACGGCTGCGTCGCAGCCCCCCTCGCCCGCCAACGCGCAGGATTTCTGCTGCACTGGGACCATGGACGAGGCCGATTTCTGCGGCAAGTGCTGGACCCGACGGCCCGGATGCAAAACCGTTCTTGTCTGCGCCGGTGTGCGATTTCGCGTTGAGTTTTGTGCGGACCACCTCCGCGGGCCCAGAGGCTAGCTTCCTCCGGCGCTGCTGGAGCCACGGGGGGAGGGGGGGTGGGGGGGGCAAGCACGCAGAGCGGAGAGCTCGCATTCCGCATTGCCACGGTCGTCAAGGCCCTGCCGAGGTCCTCGGGGTCCCGCCGAGGTTGCCAGGCCCGCCTGAGGACTTGAGTGGGTGCCTCGCCGAGGCCGCAAGGTGTCTGCGGGGTAGATTTCGAGGCCCTCCAGTCGAGGCCCCCAGACATGCAGGAGGTCCTTTCCAGGACCTCGCACGGGTCACCCAGACACCTCGCCGAGCTTCGGGAATTTCGGAACGTTCCAGTTCGATCCAGGGATGACAGCTGCACAGATCCACTTCGTTCGTCCCCCTCCCTTCCCAGTGAAAGGGGCAAACGATTGGAGGAGGAGCAGGGGGCCGCAGGAGGGAGGTGGACCTGTACAATTTATCGATTCCAGCTCGAATACCATGCGAGCCAATGATGAGTTGAATCGTGCCAGATGCTCTACCACGTTTCGGTGTCGGCGTGGCGGTCGCATCATTCCACGTGCTCTCGCCTTGTCCGACCAATGGTGCCCTTCTGAGACGCCTTGTGTGACTTCAGCAATCTGATCTTCCCCCTTGTGGCTTCAGTCCATCTGGGTGCCGTGCTTGTTTCGAGTCTTCTCAGTGTGAGGGGACGAACGTTCTTGCACTGTCCCTGGGTGTGTTGCCGAAATCGGCTTCCGCGGTGCGGGTTCTTGTTGTTCAGATGTCATTTTGGAAGAATAAGTTTGTTGGTTCCCTCACCAATGCCCATTGCGCTTCTTCAATTGAAGGGCTCCCCCCCGCGGTTCGCACCTGATGTTCGATCAGAGAACGGATTGATACACAAACTGCGCCCCTGGCCCCCAGTGTACAACAACAACAACAACAACAACAACAACAACAACAACAACAACAACAACGGCTCCAATCGTGTTTCCGTGCGGGAGGTTTCACGACTTTCTCAGGATTCGCGCTCTCGCGCAGGACATCCTACAACTTATTCAGGCGCCGCGCCCTCGACGCCCAGGGGTCGCGCTCTCGCACGAGATCTCTGAAATTATTGACGATTCTCGTCTCCCCACGAGCCCATCAAAAAAAATACACCAGGCGAGTTGCCCTGATCAGGGATGTGTAGCGCCCTGGTGGAGTGGCTGCCTGTCGTTGCCTGAGGTGCCTGTCTTACGTCGTGTGTACCAGGGGCCGCCTTGGTAGAGTGGTTGCTTGTCGTTGCTCGCCGTCTGCGCTTTGCTTTGGGCACGCGGGGACCAGCGACGCGCGCACTGATCATCTGGAACGCAGCGGGCGGCGACAGGCAACTACTCAACCCAGGCAGTCGCGGGAAGCGTCTGCCCCCTACCACCGCGTACATGGTACACCCAGGACAGATGCAGCAACGATGCCGAGACAAGTTGATTTGATCAGGGAAGTGAAGCAGCACGAAGTGTAACACGGTAGGCGGGATGACGACGACGACGTTAGTGCCGACGGTGACGATGATGGCGCCGACGGCGGTGACGACGACGGCGAGTACGTCGTCGACGACGCCGACGCCGACGCCGCCGCCACCGCCGACGACGACGACGACAGAAGTCAACCATTAAGGATTTTTGTAGGCCTGATACTCTGGGAGCGTCTTGGAGGCCTCTTGGGGCCATCTTGGTTCCCTCTTGGGGATCTGTTGAGACCCTCTTGTGGCTCACCTGGGGCACTCTTGGGGCTCACTTGGGGCCCTCTTGCAGGCTTTTGGGCCCCCCCTGGGGCCGTCTTGGAAGCCAACAGGGGAAGGACTCAAGTAGTGCCCCACCATCGGGGCCCAAGCATTGGCCTCTTGAGGCCCTCTTCGGGCCCTTCTTGACCGTTCTTGTGGCGCTCTTGGGCGCTCTCGGAACCGTCTCGGGGCCATCCAGGGCCCCAAGAGGGGCCTCCGGGCCCTCTTGGGCCATCTTGGAGCCACCTTGAGGCCTCCAGAATACATCGAAAGCGAAACAGCGACAAGGCCAACGTCATTTGAACACACACACACACACACTGGTTTTGCATGAGATTGGCCTCTTGGAGGCTTCCTTTGGGAGGCTCGGAGGGCATGTTGTGCCATGCGGCAGTCATTTACCACGTGGGAGGCACGGAGGCCACGTCGTGCTACTCTCTGTTGAAAGGGTAATTCCGCCACGCGGAAGGAATCCACCACAGCGAATACAGCAGCACATCACAGCATTGAACAGTGTTAGCTATGTTTTCGTTTTGCCGGTTGATACTTGAGACGATGTTTGGCACCCTGGGTCTAGCCTTGCTGCCTAAGCGCCTTGGGCCAAATGCTTACGGAAGACAGTGCATGATAAAAACTCTGCCCACATTTCTATCGCAGGCTTTGCTGCATTGACGTGAAAGCCCCTTGCGATTGTCCCTATTCTGCGTGCTCGGTGTGGGTCGCCACCTACCCATCCTACCTCCATGTGGACTGTACAATTGTAGTGCACTATTGCCTGCATGTCTGTTGAAGCCAAGCAGCTTGTAATTGAAATGCTGTGCGCCTAGCCTGAATGCAAGACGAGGGCAAGGAATCCCGGATCTCTCTTCGGCCTCCTCGGGAGTCTGGAGGTTTTGCATGGATCCCTGAGGATTCTGAACGAAGCATCTTTCAGCCAGTCGGCCTCGCGTGAGGCCCTCGTGTAGACCCCTTGGCCCTCTTGAGAGGTCTTCAGGAGAAGCCACCCTAAGGGCCATCGACGGAGTTTGAAGGGGGGAATTTGAGCTGCCACCCCGGAGTTCGAACATGTATTGACGCCCTGCGTATGCCCAGCAACCAACAGCCCATCCAGAAACTCATTCCTGGCGAGTGGTCGTGATAAGGGCAGTGGCAGAACACCAGCGGGAGAACGAGGGGGCACGCTGAAATTAGCCCGAGCAGCCCCCACGAATGACCAGTACGGGGATCACTGGAAGCCTCCTGATGCCGTCGCCCGCCGGGCGCCTCTGAGGCCCTCTTGGAGCTCTCGTGCACCCCCATCTGGGTGGGGGGGAAGGAGAAGCGACACCAACACCACCAGGGAGCAACCTCCAGCGAGGAGGTCCACGATGCCTCCTCCGAGCCAGGGATAGGGGACGTCCCGAGCGAGAGGGGGGACCACACCACCAGGGGGCCCCGCCCTGGCTCCTCCCGCTGGTGGTCCCTGGTGGTGTTGGTGTCGGTTTGCCGTGTTCCTACCCCCCCCTCCCGAGGCCTTCGGGGCTCTTTTTTTGAGCCAGCCTGGAGGCTCCTTGCCCCCAGAGGATGTCATTGATGCTGCCCGTCTGCAGCTCGAGCAATCGCCATTGCGGGTCCCTCTTGGAGCTGCCTTGGGGTGTTATTGCGGGGCTTTCGGGATCGCCGTGTGGCCGATCTCGAACCCCTTTCTGAGGCTCTCTTGGATCGCATCAGAAGCTTCAAATAAACGACAAGCCGACAAAGGAAACCTCATTGAGCAACGTATGAGTCTTCGACGTGTTTCGTTGCGCGGGGGTGTCGTGGGAGGCCCGTGGTCACCTCGGGCTGTCGTGTGGCGATCTGGTGGAGTCTGACTAGGTCTACCTTGGGTCATGTGCTCCAGTATTTCCCGTTTCGCCACAAGGCCGTTGCGTACGGGACCTTTTTCGCAAGCGATTCGTTGCTAAAGTATCAAGCTGCTTGCGGCAAGTTGCGCAACCGTGCAGCACTCTGTGCGTGTGTGTGTGGAGTGGAGAGGAGTGGAGTGGTGTGGTGTGGTGTGGTGTGGTGTGGTGTGGAATGGTATGATGTGTGTGTGTGTGCGCGTGTGTGTATGATCTGTGTGTAGATGTATGTGTGTTTGTGCGCGTGCGCGCGCGCGCGCGTGTGTGTGTGTGTGTGTGTGTGTGTGTGTGTGTGCGTGCGTGCGTGCGTGCGTGCGTGCGTGCGTGCGTGCGTGCGTGCGTGCGTGCGTGCGTGCGTGCGTGCGTGTGCGTGTGTGTGTGCGTGTGCGTGTGCGTGTGCGTGTGCGTGTGCGTGTGCGTGTGCGTGTGCGTGTGCGTGTGCGTGTGCGTGTGCGTGTGCGTGTGCGTGTGCGTGTGCGTGTGCGTGTGCGTGTGCGTGTGCGTGTGCGTGTGCGTGTGCGTGTGCGTGTGCGTGTGCGTGTGCGTGTGTGCGTGTGCGTGTGCGTGTGCGTGTGCGTGTGCGTGTGCGTGTGCGTGTGCGTGTGCGTGTGCGTGTGCGTGTGCGTGTGCGTGTGCGTGTGCGTGTGTGTGTGTGTGTGTGTGTGTGTGTGTGCGCGTGTGCGTGCGCGTGCGCGTGTGCGTGTGCGTGTGCGTGCGTGCGTGCGTGCGCGTGTGTGGGAGTGAGAGAGAGAGAGAGCGAGAGAGAGAGAGAGAGAGTGAGCGAGCGTGTCGACGCGTGGGGCACCGCGCCCAGAAGGCCATATCATGTGACACATCGCGTCTGGATTCTTGGAACAGCTATCACTGGGTCGATCTGGGCTGGCTTGGTGGGCCCCTGTGGGGCCGCCTGGGGGCATTCTGGGGTTCCTCTTGGGCCATCTCGAAGCGCTCTTGGGCCGTATTGGGCTCCCTTTGGCAGTACAGGGAGTCTCTGGGGGTTGTCATGAAAGCCTCGTAGGGTCCCGTCGGGCCATTTGGGGGGCTTTCCTTCCTTGCTGGCTTGCGGCTCTCTTGGGGCCGTTTATGGCCATGGCCACGTTGGGGCGGTCCCAGGCCCTGGGACCCTCATTGGGGCCAGACTGTGCTCTCCTTGGTCTTGGGCTCTCTTGGGCCATCACTCGGGCCGACAGGCGCGGGAAGCCAAACACCTTCACTCGCCTCCGCAGCCATTTTGGCTCAAGCCGCCGCGGCACAAGCGGCCCAGCTGTACATATGCCCCTGAACTCCGCGCTCTGCTGCCCGCCCTCGCGCGCCGACGTCGCCTGCGGGGAGATAGGCTTCGCCCGCGGCTCCGTGGACATCTGCTGTGCCCAGGGCTCCCCTGCCGCCGTGGAGGGCCTCTCGTGCCTGGGAGGGGAGCGTGACCTGCAGGGGATGCCCCTCGACGACCCAGACGAGGGGGCCCAGACGAAGTGGCGCGGCCAGACAAGCGGACCTGAGCAGAGCATGCCGCTCCTGGCCAGGCTGGCCAGGCCCAGCATCCTCCAGAGGCGCGACGGCAAGATGCTGGGGCTGACGGCGCTGTCCGACGTCGCGGCCGAGGCGCCGAGTCCGCTGGGATCCCCCACCAGTTTCGCACTACCCAGGCATCTGCGCGGTGATCATGATGCCGCGCTGGCTGCGGTTGCACGGGGTAACAGTGGAGAGGGATCATTATCGTTTAACCGACCCCCATCCCCATCCCATCCCCTTCGAGACCCCCACCAAATTACCCCCCAGTTGGGGATACACCCTCGAAGCCCGAAGGGAACGGCCTATATCAAAATCTAGGGGGGTAAATCGGCCAGTGGGGCAGGCCACTCCGCTTTGGATGGGGATCGGTTAAAAGATGCTCAGGCTGCACGGGGTGGCAGTGGAGGAGGACTCGGGCGCGGTGCCGCCCGTGCACGGCAGCTGCAGCAGTTGCCGGCGATCGTCAGTTCCACGGCTCCCGAGGAGAGCCCAAGCGAGACCCCAGCCAGGCTGGCCCTCGTGCGCAGGCCCAGGAGCAGTGTCGACGTCGGCGCCGCGGGAGACGTTCAAGAGCGCGGGGGGCAGCGAGAGTCCCAAGCGAGGCGCGTGAGTTTCTCGCCATCTTCCTTGAACAGCACCCACGACGTGACGCCTTACGCCAGGAAGTACGGCGTTCACCCGCGCTTCTTCGAATTCAACCGACGGGGCGAGATGCAATTGATCGATGGCGGCGTCGTGGACGACATCAGGCGGGTGGCCGAGGGTGACCATCGTCTGAAGCGGAGCGGGGAAGCGCTGTGATGATAAATTATCACGCAACTCCGTTTTTTGGTTTTCGCCACCATCGGTGTATTTGCGTCGATTTGCGAGCAGGACCTCCCTGTCCCCTCGTGATTAGTTCTCGTCGTCCCCAGGCCAAGGCTACGTCCTGTTCGTTGCGGGCGAGCACGGCGCGCGATGTGTGTTTGTCGCAGGATGGACTGTATCTCTGTGTGCTTCTGCTTCAAGATGCCTCCGCGTTGATGCCACCCCGATGGTGGAGCCACCCCGTGCATCGTGAAGACTCGCAGGTGCGGCACTGCGAGCTGTCAGATGACACCGGCGCGGGCCCTCGCACCCCCCCCCTCCCACCCCCCGTGGAGTTGATCTGGACTGTTTCTGGCGCCTGTTTCGAGCAGGTGTAGTCTCACCCGTAGGACGCACTGTCGCAAACAACCGCGCTAAGCCGAGTTCCTGAGTCAGACCCCCCTCCCTTTCCGCCCAGTGTCGGAGCGCTGGATCGGGGGGCGCTCATTTGCTTGCCGCCTGGAGCAGGGGCCGCTTCGCTTTCTGTGGGCGTCGCGGATGTTGAAAAAATATAATTATCCCGGCAAAGCAACCTAACAGCGATGTGTAGGAGCATATCTGGAAGCATTCCCCTTAAGATTCAGATGAGAATCCAGTTGTAGAATTCTGCTGTTCTCGCAGTCGTAGTCGCATTCGCGATGACAGTCGCAGTGGCAACGGCAGTCGCAGTCACAGCCTCAGCCTCAGCCTGCCTCAGCCTCAGCCTCAGCCTGCCTCAGCCTCAGCCTGCCTCAGCCTCAGCCTCAGCCTGCTTCAGCCTCAGCATCAGTCTGCCTTCAGCCTCGGCCTCAGCCTCAGCCTGCCTCAGCCTCAGCCTGCATCAGCCTCAGCCTCAGCCTCAGCCTGCCTCAGCATCAGCCTGCCTCAGCCTCAGCCTCAGCCTCAGCCTGCCTCAGCCTCAGCCTCAGCCTGCTTCAGCCTCAGCCTCAGTCTGCCTTCAGCCTCGGCCTCAGCCTCAGCCTGCCTCAGCCTCAGCCTGCATCAGCCTCAGCCTCAGCCTCAGCCTGCCTCAGCATCAGCCTGCCTCAGCCTCAGCCTCAGCCTGCCTCAGCCTCAGCCTCAGCCTGCTTCAGCCTCAGCCTCAGTCTGCCTTCAGCCTCGGCCTCAGCCTCAGCCTGCCTCAGCCTCAGCCTGCATCAGCCTCAGCCTCAGCCTCTGCCTCAGCATCAGCCTGCCTCAGCCTCAGCCTCAGCCTGCCTCAGCCTCAGCCTCAGCCTGCTTCAGCCTCAGCCTCAGTCTGCCTTCAGCCTCGGCCTCAGCCTCAGCCTGCCTCAGCCTCAGCCTGCATCAGTCTCAGCCTCAGCCTCAACCTGCCTCAGCATCAGCCTGCCTCAGCCTCAGCCTCAGCCTCAGCCTGCCTCAGCCTCAGTCAGCCTGCTTCAGCCTCAGCCTCAGTCTGCCTTCAGCCTCGGCCTCAGCCTCAGCCTGCCTCAGCCTCAGCCTGCCTCAGCCTCAGCATCAGCCTGCCTCAGCATTCAAAATGTGTCCCTGGAAAAAGTTCTGGGAGCTCGAAAGACACGAAGTGGCCTACAGTTGGCTCCGGGCATTCAAAAGCATGCCCAGGAATGGAGTTCTGGGAACTCGAAGACAACGAAGTGGCCTACAGTTGGCTTCGGGCATTGAACATGTGGCCGGTCGGGGCAGCCGGCCGGGGCAGCCGGCCAGGGCAGCCGGCCGCCCTCCCCTCCTCCTCCTCCTCCTCCTCCTCCTCCTCCTCCTCCTGGTCGTCCTCCCCCTCCCCTCCTCCTCCTCCTCCTCCTCCTCCTCCTCCTCCTCCTCCTCCTCCTCCTGGTCGTCCTCCTCCTCCTGCTCGTCCTCCAAGCGGTCCGAGACGAATTGCGCGCAGCGCGCCGCTCGCCGCGCCCGCCAGGCGGTCATCCTGGTGGCGTCTCCCACTCGCGAGGCGAGGCGAGGCCGTCGGCAGGGGGAGGGAATGCCATGTCCGTCCTCCGCTTCCTCGGCTTCAACCCTCTGTGGGCAAGTGGCGATAGGTTATGTGAGATTATGGGGGAGACACGGAACTTTGACGCAGTAGCATTGGCAGGCACGAAGACTGTGGACCGTCCGCAGCAAGGGCTCAGAGTTCTACGCCAGCGTTGTGCAGGCCGACTCCTTCTGGAGTCACCTTTTTTCGATTCGCCGTACAGCAGCAACAGTTGTGGGTGTGCTATTGGCTTTGGCAGTCAGATACGTGAGCAGAACATCATCAGAACATGGGTCAGTCCACCAGAGGCGCGTGGCCGAGCACTAGCTGCAAGAGCAAAAAGTGGTCCGATCGACATTTGTCTCATCGTCGTTTATTTTCCTCCGAGACCAAAGCATCGTGCTCAGAGGCCTCAGTTTCTATCGACGGTACGTCTCTTAGTGACATGGCTGTCATGCGTGTTGAGTGAACTACCACATCGATGCACCCCACTGCTTTATTGTGATCTTAATGGTGGGATTGGTCAGTCTCGTGGCTCTCATGGGTGGGAAGATGTTGGCACTTCAGTGGTGATCGATGTACCGACGCAGGAGATGATGCCTCGGGGTGCAGGACAATTGATGCGGGAGTGCATGGAGTCTCATTTCATGGTGGCTGGTAATGCCGCTGGTCAGCTTCAACGTACCTCTTTTGGGCCTGAAGGCGCTTCGAGTCGTATCGACTACGTCTTTTATCCCTCGGCGATGCAGCATTTGGTGAGAGGGTGCTTCCCCTTGAAGGGGCTTGGCGCCAAATTGCAAGCAATTCGTGGACAATCGCCACGGGGCCATGTACCTGCGATGTGCGCGCTGACTTACGACAAGGCCGGCTTGCTGGGAGGACCTACTCCTACGCAGCTCCGTTGGAACCGAGATCTTATGATGGCTTCACTTCGCCAGGGAAAAGGCAGACGTGAGTACTTGATAGCGGCCAAGGAAGAGATCGACAAACTACCTTTTGCCTTCTTGAAAGATCAGGCCTCCCCCGACGAACTGTTCGAGCGGTTGGAGGATGCGCTAATTTCTGCTGGACAGCGAATTTTCTCACAGTCAAGTCGTACCAGCCCCGAGTACAAAGGGAATGCGGAGAGACGGCGTCAACTTCTGGCTGCACGGGTTCGTCTTAGTGGCGCAAAGTTGGGCATGAACGATGACGGTGCGCAACGGGTCGATGCTGAGCTCCGCGTTCTTTCCGCCGAACTCTCTGCTGAACGACGTCGTGCTGCCAGATTTCTTCGCTCTCAGTTGGTGAAAGAGGCATCGGAGCAGTGGCGACGGCGGTATACTTCTGAAGCGCTCTCACTATCCAGGCGTGCGGCTCGTTGTAGAATGGGCCCGAAGAACAGAGACGGGCGCGTGGTGCAGGGGCCCCCTCCGAGTCGGGGGGAGCGGCTCCAAGTCTGGCGAGCTCCTGGGGGGGGGGGAGGAGGTATGATGGTGGAGGAGGCAGACTGGGAAGCTTGGAGGGCTGAGAGGGAGGGGGAGACGTACGACTGGGACGTGACGGAGGAGGGGCAGGAGCTAGCCCAGCAGGATTTAAAGTTGATCAGGTCTTACATCAAGAGGGCTCCGAAGAGGAGAGCAGTTCCCGAAGGTAGTGCACCTCTTGAGCGTTGGCACCAGCTACTTTACCCCAACTGGAGGGCGGCACAACAACAAGGGGGAGTAGGGTATGACGAGTCGATGCCCAAGGTTCCTGGGTTCTGGTGGACCCTCTCGGTGGGCCTCGCGAAGGTCCGACACTCTCAGAAGGCCCCGCTATATTGGCATCGTAGTCGAGGGGCTGGCCTACCCAAAAGCGCACAGCACGGTCCCCGAGGGAAACGAGTTATACATGCGTTGCCTATTCTTGGGAAAGCATTTTATTCCAAGATGTTGAATGTTGTGCCCTCTCAGCAAGACCGCGGCTTCGTCGCCCACAGGGGGCGCGAGGCCGCCATTTTCATCGCCCAGGTGACTTGTTGGCGACTGTGCCGTGTTCGGCGCTCCTTCGTCATGAGCCTCAAGGATATGACAAATGCCTTTGGGAGCTCGGACTGGTCTGAATTAGAGATCACGAATGCTCGCTCTACCTCGGAGGCTAACCGCACCCTCTGCCAGCAGCGGTACGAGGATAGCATGATTGAATTAACTGCTGATGAGGGCCCCCTGTTGGTGAAGCCGTTCCAAGGTGGCGTCATGGGGGGGCCCCTTCACGGTGGCCGCGTTTATAGGCACGTTCTCTCGGGCGACGCTTCAATGGGCATACCAGTGGAGTCGGTCCGACCCGATGTCCCGCTTCTTGGTTTCGAAATGGCTGAACTTCCAGAGTGACTTGAGTTTGTTGGAGTATGCCGATGACGTAAACACAACAGTAGTGGCCTCCGACGAGATGACCTTGGGGGACCTCTTTAGGAAGGTTCGTAAGATGGACGAGGTTTTCGACTCGGTGATGAAGCCGTTCGGGTACGTTCAGAATCTCGGGAAGCAAGAGTTTTTGACGTATTTCGCATCCCAGGGGGATCGAGCTCGACAGGTGGTTCGAAAGGGGATCGAGGGCATCCAGGGTAAAATCAAAGACAGCGTGAGGTATCTGGGCCCCCACATTCGAGTTCGGGGTTCGAGTCGCCAGGAGGTCACTAGGAGGTGTTCAGCTGCACGTACTGCATTCTACAGAATTGGAGGGATCTGGTCGTTGGCGATCCCCTTTAAGCTGCGCAAGCTTCTGCTGGTGGGCAATGTTCAGAATGCTCTACTGTCTGGCCTGGAAGCGTTTGTGCTCAGCAAGGCCGATTATCGGCGCCTGGACAATTGCTTGGCTTCTCTCGCTCGTATCGCGATGCTTGGTCGCGCCACGCTCAGGGAGGAAAACAGCACACGCTCTCTGACTCACCCCCAGGTCCTTCTCTATTGGAGACTGCTGGGCAGCGAGTGCGAGATGAGAATCCGTCGTTTGAAGTGGTACCGGAGCTGGGCTGAGCGACCTGATCATCACATCCAACCGTTGTGCGCGA